AGTTTGGTTTTCTACCTTTCCATAATTCATATGGTGATACCTTGGATTTAAGCGAAGTTACTCGATTATGTATATGACAAGCAGCCAGTAAAGCCTCTCTCCACAAATATTTAGGCAGTCCAGAACTTATAATCATGGCATTTACCATATTTTCTAAAGTCCTATTTTTCCTTTCTACCAAACCATTTTGTTGCGGAGTATACGGTGCACTAGTTTGGTGTGTAATCCCATTTTCTTCACAAAATTGAGAAAAATCAGTAGGAAAATATTCCCCACATCTATCACTTCTCAAAATTTTAATTTTCTTTCCTTGTTGATTTTCCACAAGATTTTTGTAACACTTAAAAATATGAAATGACACATCTTTCGTTTTCATCAAGTGCTCATACACATATCTTGAATAATCATCAATGAATGTGATGAAATACCTATTTTCTCCTCTTGTTAGAAACCCATTGAATTCACAAACGTCAGAATGAACAAGATCTAACAACTCATTGTTTCTTTCTGCTTTAGGAAAAGGTAATCTGGTCATTTTTGCTTGTATACATGTTTCACATCTTTTTTTAACATTATCTTTGAACGAAATCAGGCCATGTTTAGACATAAATTGCAAAGTTTTATGATTAACATGTGCTAATCTATCATGCCAGAGAGAATATGAAGCATCAACAACATACACAGAAACATTATCTTTATTGATACATAGCTTGAACATTCCATCGCCAGAGTATCCCTTGCCTACAAATACACCATTCATAGAGAAGATAACCTTATTAGACTCTAGTATAACCTTTAGCCCCTTTTTGTTTAAGGCACCAGCCGACATAAGATTTTTCCTAATTTTTTGAACATGAAGAACATTGACCAATCTAAGTTTCTTTCCAGAAGTCAACTGCAAGTCTACACTTCCTTTGCCAAGAACTTTTGTTGTATTATGGTTTCCCATCAATACTTCATGACCATCAGGAACTTCTTTATAAGTCTTGAACTGGGACTTATCATTACAAACGTGCATGGTGGCACCACAATCATACCACCAGTCACACAATTTGGTTGCAGCAGCCACATGCAATTGAGAAATCATGCCAATGTTCCAATGTGAAACCATTGCAACAATCTCAGCAACTTTTTGTTCAATCAGATTTGCATTTTTGCATTGTCTTTCTTTTGCTTTTTGTTACTATCTGCCTTGCATTCATGCTTGTAATGTCCCTTCTTGCTGCACTTATAGCAGACTCTATTCTTCTTCTTGTCCTTAGATGTACTTGCTTCTGGAGACTTTGTTTTGAAACCAAAAAAATTCTGTGAATTCTTCTCACTTAAAGCATTCACTTTGACATCAGAGTCTATTTGCTTTTTTTGAAGATTTCTGGTATCTTCTTCAATATGTAAATGTTTCAAAATATGATCTATAGTGAATGTTTCAGTAGTATGAAGCAACTTTTTCTTATAATCATTCCAACTAGTTGGAAGTTTGGCTATTATTGCTCCAACTTACAAAGATTCAAATATCTCCACTTTCAGATCATGTAACTTAGACACAATCACTTGGAGATCATGAATCTAATCCATAAGAGAAGAATTCTCAGTCATACGAAAATCAAAATATTGCATAATCAGAAATTTGTCCGCACCTTGTTTCATTGTATTGTACTTGTACTCCAGCGCATTCCAGATTTCCTTAGGCCACTTGACTGCAGTGTACAGATCATACAAGTGGTCAGAAAGAGTATTCATGATGTGTCATCTGCATAGCAACTCGTCCTTTGCACATTTTTTGCGTTGTGCCTTGACTTCATCAGAATCATCATCTTTAGACCCTGGAATTTCAGGAAGTGAAGGATCCAAAACATAAGCAATCTTCAAAGCCATCAGGAAAAACATCATCTTATCCTTTCAACGGGAGAAATTAGTGCCGTCGAATCTGTTCGACTTGACGAAGTCCTGATTCATCACTTTGAAAGCGGATTCAGAACTTGACTCCATTGTTGACGATAGCACCTTAAAATTGTTCAAAATTTGTAGTAAATAAGAAATCTAAACTAGACAAATTACCTTGAGGTGTTATTTGCCTCTATCAGACAAATTACCTCTAGAATATAACAAAGTCTAAGAACTTTCCCACCAAACTTTCCCCCCAAACTAATATTTTGGAACAAATTTGTAAAGAAAACACATATATAGACAAGGAGCACTCTATCCTCTTTCAATGTGGGACAATGAACTTCAACATTCTTATTACAAACTATTACCAACATTAAACATGTACAAATCACTGTGAACCGTAACTGAATATGACATCCCTGATACATTAGTTATCCTCTGGTCATAGACTAACTGTATGTAATGAAGCAGCACTACAAATCAAATTGTGCTCCTCTGTTGCCCCCGTTTGGGGGAGAATACACACAAAAAAGCTAATTTAGATGTGGAGTAGGAAGCAAGCATCTTCTGGGATGATGTGAAATTCCCTAGGCTTGTGTTTGTTGTTATGCAACTTGTTTTGCGTATATACCTAACCTTATTATTGGCTTCTGTTCGAACATCTTACATATCTTGTTTGATTTTACTACCTATCGAATTGGATTCTATTGGTATGGACGCGTTTTGGTTTTACTATGCAACATCAATATGCTCTATCGAATTTCGAACAAGTCTAGTTGGATTCTGTCCAATTTTGTTCAGTTAAAACAGTTCTAATTGATTGAATTTTATGGACATGTTACATTTTATTGTTTGATTTCACTATGCAACATCAATATGCTCCTGTCGAATTGGCTTCTGTTGGTATGGAGGTGTTATATTTTCTTGTTTTTATTTTACCATGCAACATCAACATGCTCCTATCAAATTTGGAGCAAGTTTAGTTGAATTTTGTTCAATTTTGTTCAGCTCGAACAGTCCTAATTGATTGAATTTTTCGTTCCATTCGGTTAGCACGGATCTAATTAAATTTTGTCCCGTTCAATTCATTTGTCAACATTCTACAAAAATTAGTGTAAACTTGATGCAATTGAATATTTGATTTTATACATCAAATGACACACACAGGACAAATGCACCAAATCTTGTTCAAATTACACCAACCAAACATAATACTCAACTAAGACACACCCGCTTGCACTTGCCTGTTGAGTAAATCACTTCTAAGGTACGTAACACCTATGTTTTGAAACTCGAACTAGATCGGCCAGTTCAACCGATTGAACCGATAATTGAGTAGGCATCCGATCCAAGTTATCTGAAAAATTATCAAGCAAAAACTCAGTCAAATCCAATTAAAATTCGGACAAACCCGAAAATTGGAATAACCATTTGGAATCGAACTTTTTTCCATCTTTTCTATTTTTACTTTTTTGTTTTCATTTTTTGATTCTTTCTTTTAACTACTCTCAAATATCTTTATATATCCTATTATAAATCTCTCTCAAACAAGTCCAATGGAAGATCTAAGTTCAACAAGGGATAAAACATAAAAAGAAAGGAAAGAAAAAAAAATTCATCTCTCAAACAACTCCAATGGCAGATCTAAGTTAAAAAAAAAAAAAGATAAAACACCAAAATAGGAAAGCAAAAAAAGAAGATGAAAAGTAGAAAGGGAAAACAAAGAAGAAAGGGATTGAAAGGTTTCAAAGGAATAAAGAGAAAAATGAATTGATAGATCTGGTCTAGTATGTTTGGAGATAGAAGGAAAAGAATTACTTGTGTGTTTGGAGAAAAAAAAAGGTAAAGAAATTAGAACCAAAAAAAAGTGAGGACAAGAAGATGAAGAATTTGAGAAGATGATGTTGACGGAGGAGGCCAACCCTCTGGAAGGAATAGCAACAGCAGGGACAATGAAAGTGACGACGGTAAAGTGCTCAAGAAAAGGATATAAACGTTGGGACTTTTACACTCAAGTCCAAAGCTTTTTTAATATATCTTTTTGACCCATAAATGTTTTAAGTAATTGTATATTGTCTCATAAGTTTTTCTTATTTAAATTTACTGCCATAAGTTTCATTTTTTCTTCAAATATGTCATAATAATTTAGTTCTAGACTCACCAATAAAAGCTATGAAGTTTTAAATATCAAATTAGAGTTCAATTTGAAGGATTGTGAATTATATAATATGTGTGAAGAAAAATAAAGTGAAAAATGGTATAATTTTCATCACCTAAGTATATATTTATATTTACTTAATATGTTCCATAATAAAATTTTTATGAATATATTTATGACATCATGCTGACATCATTTGGTTCTTGAATATTGATTTGATCTGATCGAATTCATTGACCCCTGACTCCTAACCCCTGAGCTCTACCAATAAGCTTTTTTGTCCGAGTTTAAAAACATTGCGTAACACCGGTTTCGTGAATTCCTTTTATTTTAGCTTTCTAATTGCGAAATGATCCTAAGATTGCCTTCCAAAAAAAAAATAGGGGGACAAAATTTGAATTTCATAACAGAGTCAACTACTTTACATAAAGTTAAAAACTAATTATTAACCACAAAGGGGTTATATGTACATTTTAAACCATAAAAGGATTATGTGATAAATCACTAAATCATAAAGAGGTTATATAATAAATTACAAAATCATAAAGAGGTTAAAGTATTATGCATATTATGTTCATATAGTTTGATCGCTTCAACTGTTTTAATTTTTAAATGAGGATAATCACGACATTTCGGTGAATTTTGTTACAGACTTACGGAGAATCATTTCCGTCATTTTGACACTTTAGTTTAGAAGGAATATGTATAACTTTTGAAATCACATGGGATTATGTGAAAAATTGTTAAACTACGTGAGTGTAAAATCTATTTTACCCAAAAGAGAATACAAACAATATACATAAAAGCGTAGTAACTTGAGATATGAATTCCGAAACAAATCTACTAAAACTATTCTCAAATTTATGACCTAAAATAGCGTTACATTAGATTCTGAAACACCAAATAGATTTAGCAATAATCCACAGTATCTCTTCTGTTGATGAAATCAACTCCTTCAGGCAACAGCAACATTGCTAGTTTTAATCCCATCCATATCCAACTCTAAAGGTGGGTTGTGAAGATCAAAAGGAAGCTTAATTCTGCCAATTGAACGTTGACGAACAAGCTTCACAGTCTCAAAATTGCATATTTCAAACATGAATCCATCCGAGTCGTTGAAAAATAGCTGATCAATAGCTTCTCCTTCTTCATCTCCAACTGTTCTTTCTATGTACATTATGTTGAAATCCTGCTACTTCTGCTCCATTGCCTCCATATCCTCACACTGGATAGTGCATAAGTCTCAGCAAAATTACTGCTCAATTCTCGGATTAAGAAAATTACAAAATAGCTACCTAATACAGCCCCAAGTCTCAAAATTCATCTAATCCTGTCCACAAAAATAATAATCAAATTGAAAGATATTAAAGAATCCACAATAAATTTTTTTTTTGAGGAATAATCCGCAAATTTTCATCTTATCTTGTTACCCGAGTTTGAGAAGTGAACTGATGAATATTGAATACAAGTTGTACACCTGTTGAGAAGTCACAATTTGTATCGAGGAATACTTTCAAGTATTACTGATACTGATCATCTCAAAAAGAAGTAACTAACGTAGGTAAATTATTCAAGTAATAACATGATAAGCAAATGAAAAATTCTGTTATCGATTTTGCACCTCATTTTAGAAATAATGACAGAATTCAAAATTTTTTCCATCCACTTAATATCTTTCCTTACCATTTTAAATTGGAAAAGAAGCGAAAATACCATTTAACAAATTCTTATGCTTTTATTTTCTGAAATACAAGCAAAAACCAATTTTCTAGTTGTAACAAAAAATAAAAAAATGTTAAAGGCTAGAAACCTGGAAGGAGATATGATTATCCATGGGGTCCAAATAATCCTTGTCATCAGGCAATCTATCTTCATCTTTGGCCCCCACTAAGTGGATCCCAACTAACCACTGAGCTTGGCTTAGTGGCCACTAGGAAGGGTCTTAAATCCTCCTTGGATTGTAGATGAGGGTTTAAATCTCACCTGTAGTAAAAAAAATTTAAGAGTTGTGTCAAAACACTCTATACCTGCTATAGATAAGTTATATAATAGTTGTCGTCTCCGAAAAAAGAAAAAAAATAGATCCCAACCCCATAATTGAAAAGCCATGCATAGTCAAAATCAAAAGCTTGTGGTCTTTCAATCAATACAAATCCTAGAACTTAATAGAAATCAGTGGACTCGTTCACATTCCTGCACAATCTAGGTACCTGGTTTAATGCCCTTAATGGGTCATCGTGCCTTTTACTGGCACGATCATTATTTTTGTTTTTTTTTCTCCGTTTCTTTCCTCTCTCTCTTCTTTGTTTTCTATCTTTTTTCTTGCTGGGTCTTGTGCGGTAATATATCAATTAGGGTTGCAAACGAGGCGAGTCGAGTCGAGTTGAGTTTTAGGCTAATCGAGTCGAGTCTCGACTAAATTTTACCAAACTCGAACTCGAGCTCCAGCTCAACGAGCCGGCAATTTAAAGCTCGAGCTCGGCTCGAATTGAGTCGACCCTCGACTAAATTTTACCAAACTCGAACTCGAGGTCCAGCTCAACGAGCCGGCTATTTAAAGTTCGAGCTCGACTCAAATCAATTCGAGCCGAGCTCGAGCTCGAAAAAATAAAATTATTTTTATTTTATTTTTTAAAAATAAATAAAATAATATTTTTTTCTTAATAAATAATAAAATATTAAGGATATATATAATTTTACTATTAAAATAAGAAAATAAAAAAAATATATACACTTAAAATAAAAAATATATATACTTAAAATAAAAAAATAAAAAATATTATAATATATATATATATATACTCGAGCTCGCGAGCCGACTCGCGAGCTAACGAGCTTAATATTTTGAGCTCGAGCTCAATATTGATCGATCTCGACTCGAGCTTGACTCGAACCGCTCGCGAGAGGCTCGATTCGTTTGCAGCCCTAATACCAACATATAGAGCTAAAATTTTAGGCTTGTTTAGAGTCTTTAGACCAATTTTGGGGGTTACATGGAGTTTTGGGTCAGTGACACGTGGTGAGGCACTGCATGGTAACGTTGTACGTGTAGAGACCAAAATTTTTTAGGGTTAATTACATTTACCTTCCCTGAGGTTTGACCATATTACCAATCAATCCCTGTAATTTGTCCAAATAACGGTCTCACCCTTTGAATGATCAAACATTTATCAAAAACCCCCTTAATGCCGAAAATGCCCTTATTGAGGCCATGTTGCATTAAAAAAAGAACATTTTTTTATTTTATTAACCCTGAAGCAATCCAAAAAAATAGAAAAAAGTTTTTGCTTATTATTTTATAAAAACCATATCTTTGCTTCCATAAATAGTTTTGAATCAATAATTATTTTAAATCTTAAAAATGAATATTAAAAATTACATAAATTGAAAGAAAAATAAAAAAAGAAGAAATTATTTTAATTCCTGAAGTATGGTTCAAATTGAGGAAAACATGCCTTGTGCTCTCCGCAACATACCTTGAACCACAAATTCGAACCATACTTGAGGATTTAAAATAATTGCTTCTTTTTTATTTTTCTTTCAATTTATCTAATTTTTAATATTCATTTTTAAGATTTAAAATAATTATTGATTCAAAACTATTTATGCAAGCAAAGATATGATTTTTATAAAATAATAAGCAAAAACTTTTTGATGATTTTTTTGGATTACTTGAAGGTTAATAAATAAAAATATGTTCTTTTTTTAATGCAATATGGCCTCAAAAAGGGCATTTTTGGTATTAAGGGGGTTTTTGTTAAATGTTTGATCATTCAAAGGGTGAGACCATTATTTGGATAAATTACAGGGATTGATTGGTAATATGGTCAAACCTCAGATGAGGTAAATGTAATTAACCCAATTTTTTAATTCATTTTATTATTTTATTTATTTATTTTTATTTATTTCTATTTCATTTTCTAAGAAAAATTATTTTTATCTTATTTGAATGGTTTTTTAGGAAAATCAAAAAGGAAAAGAAGAAAAAAAATGAAAAATGCAGTTTTTTTTAAAAAAAAAAATTTTGCCTCGCGCGCGTGCGTGTCTTCCTCTTCAACGGGCAACAACAAAAAACGAACAAGAGAAAGCTGGCAAATTTTGGAAGGAGCAAAGTGGAATCTTTCGTCTTTTTCTTTTTCCCCAAATATACTAGTACAAAAGGACACCTCATCTCTACAAGAATCATCAAGAAACTCCTGGAAATGAGGTGATCAAAGGGATAAAAATGAGCCAAAAAAGCCCATTTCATCCTCACATTGAGAGAAGGGTTTTGATAGCTTGGGGTGATTTAAAAAGGAGAGAAACGGTTTCTGGAAAGGAGAGGCAGATTAGGAAGTCGGCAAAAATAGGAGAGAGGAGAAAAGCATAAAAAAAAAAGAAGAAACTTTTCGGCAAAAAATTTGAGAAAAAGCTGGGAAACTAGCTCTGTTCGAGGGTGATTTTCTCTTTCATTTTACATCCTTTTAGAATAATTATTTTTCTGCACCTTCGAGGGATATAGAGGAGCAACTTTCGTGTTTAAAATTTTCCCAAATAACCATTGAAAACCACTCGAATCGAGGCCTGAAATTAGCATCTTCAAAAGATTTTCTGCAGAAACGTAACAAGGCTGACTTTCCAGCCCCATTGCAACCAAAATTTCCCCTTCAATACACCTTGTTTTGAGGATCTTTCGATTTCTACACAATGTGTGAAGTTGGGGGAGCAAGTTTCGTTTAGAAATCTTGCACAAAAAATGACCGAACCCTTCAAATCTACCCCCGAAGTTGCTGGTCCGGCTTCACTGGCGCATGTCCGTAGCTTCAACAAATCTACCACATCTGCTCTTTGTCACGTGTTTTCTCGTTTTGATTTGACCCAAAAGCATACTCACATATTTTCACAACTTTTCTTTGTTTGATTCGATGTTCATGCAAGAGATTTGAGTGTGTGTGTTTATGAGAGTTTATGTTGAAGACGTTTGGATCCATATTTTGTAATGGTTTATTTGGTTTTTGAACTTTATTTGATATTTATTTGAATCCATAATGCCATGATTTTCATGTACATATAAAGATCCGGGTTTAAAAGTTTTAAAAATAAAATTCTGGCGAGATTCCGGCCAAGTTGGCTGAAATTTTTCTAGTTTTCGGCGGGTCAAACCGCCGGAATTTTCTTCATTTCTTTTCTTCTATTTTTGGTTCCAACTTCCAATTATTTTTTGTTTTGTTTTATTAGGTTTGAACCATTAGAGTGTAAGTTGGGTATTTTTTGGGTTTAGAAGCTAGGCCAAGATTTAATTTTTGTTTGGGTTTGCACTTGGGCTCTGAAACTTTAGCCCAACATTTTTTTAGACTCGGCCTAATAATACAGATGGACTGTGTGATACCAAAAATTTTATCATTCTATTCCTATTTTTTTTTCATTTTTAGTTTATTTTTGTTTAATTTAGGTATATTTATTTTATTTTAGTTTATTTTATGCCTATTTATTACTTTTTCTAAAAAGAAAATCATTTCAAATCGTTTTTATAAAAATCAGAAAAAAAAACCAGAAAAAGTAGTTTAAAAAAAAAGAAAAAAGAAGCCATTCTCCGCTCAATTCCATTTGTTTGTATTTTTTATTTTTCCCCAATCCTTTGCCACCTCACCCCCTTGATCTCTATCAAGATTTTTCTAGAATAGAAGCCATCTAATGGCTACAAAGAAGCCAACAAAATCTGGTTCTCATCCACCGTTGAAGCAAGGATTTAGGAGAAGAGTTTCATTTAAAAGGAAAAGAGAAGGGTTAAAAAAAAGGGAGAGGAGGTGGCGGACAAAGGGAAAAGAGAGAAAAAAAAAGAGAGAAAAGGAGAGAAAACATAGAGAAAAGAGGAAGAAAAAAGTGTAGAAAATTTTTGTGAAAGAACTTGAGCCAGAGTTGGGGAGATGCCCAATTTTTTATTGAAATTTGATCCCAAATTTAGGTCTTTTAGGCATTCTTTTTGCATCTTCACTATCTGCACTTGTAGAAGTGTAACTTTTGTTTAGAAAAATTCTCGAAAAAACAACTCCAAATCTGTCGAATTTAGCTCCCAAGTCACTAGGTCATCAGCTCTTGGAGGAAATTTTGCAGCAAAAATTTAGCTTCCCCCTGCAATTTCTCACGTTTGGGTCTATTTCTTTGTCCATCTCACACACTGTTTCGCCTTTCAAAGTGTCAAAGGTGATGTATTTCATCTGTCTCTTGCCATCTAAGCTTGAATCTGTGCCAAAATCATTGAGATTCTGCCTGCATGTTTTTTCTTTTTCTTTTCCCTTTTTTACTGCATTTTCTTGCTCATCTTGTGGAACAACGGCTTAGATTTGTTGCACAACATTATGTTAAACATTGAATTTGGATCTTAGGCCACTATCTTGTGTATTTGGGTTTTAATTTTTGGCGGACGTTTGGGTCGTTTTGCTGTGTTTTGGAGAAGTAAGAAAAGTTGCAGAAGAAAGCTAGGCTGCATGTTTTTTTCTAAAAATTGCAGTTGCACCCCCAACTCTCGCATAATCCTACTAAGGCCCAAAAACTTGTGAAATTGAACCAATTTTTGCCTCTTTTAAGTTTAATCCTCTTTTTCATATTTAAGTAGGCTTTTGGGCAAATTATTTCTGGGTTTTAGGGCATTATTAAGCCTTAATATATTTTAGATGATTTTTGTCTTGTTGTTTTCTTTGGGCTTTCGGTAAATGGATATGATGCATCTTTAATTGGGTTATGGCATGGGCTGAGCAGGTTAAAGCCCATTGTTTTGGGTGGGTTTGTTTGGTGAAAAAGGGTTGGCTCGTGTTTTTCTGTTGGACTTTCGATGGGCCTAATGGTCTTCGGCTCAAATAAGAAATAAGGAATGGTCCAATGCCTGTTTTTCTCAAGAAATCTGACATGGAATTGCAATCCGCTCCTTGTACTTTTTAATAATTTCCTTATAGCCCTAGAAACTTAGATTTCTTTCAATTAGTTCCCTAATTTAATTGCAATTGGGTCTCTAAACTTTATATTTTCTTTTATTTTGACCCCTAATCTTTATAATAATTATAATTTGACCTCAAAAGCTTTCTCAATTTTTGCAATTGGGTTCCTAATAGTTTTGATTTCTTAAATATATTTCATTTAAATGTTTAATTGGTAGATTTCATGGTTATTTCCATTTCTTTATAATAATGAAGTGGATTTGTTAAATGTTACATTTCTTTATAATAATGGAGTATAAATAGGACAATCCAACCTCAATCAACCACTACTTCAATGGAGGTATCTTCTATTATTATTTTTAAATCCTTTTATGTGCTATTATGTGTTTTTATGTGTGATTGCATGTTTTGAGTGATTTTTCTTGTATTTATTTCTTTTTATTCATTTTTTAAATTTTCATTTAGTATGTTTAATTTTTGATGGTTATTTGGAAGGCATTTAAAATGTCAATTTGTAATAGATAGATGTTCAAGACATGTATTTAGCTAGACTATATAATAGATAGGTTTTTATCTTTGTCAAAATGTAATTAGTTAGATGAATGTAATAGTTAGGTTATTATTTTTTTAAATTCCTCCCTTAAATTGTAGTTAGGGCCCTAAATGTAATAATTAGGGTTTTATGCCCGTTTCTTTGCTTGTATGCTTGCATGCTTAAGTATTTATGTGTTTATTCGCTTTCTTTAGGGTCTTTGCTTCTAGATATTATGTTTATGTGTTATGTGCTTTATGTGTTTACTTTCTTTAATTATATTTTATATGATTTATTTAGTTATAATAAATGCATGACTTCACTACACTAGTTCAATGCTAGTTGTGGTCTTTCTCCCCAATTTTTCGCTAGCCCAACGCTAGTGAGAGTTTATAAAAATGGGTTAGTCCAATACTAGACCTTTTAGACCGTTTTGAGATAAGATCATATGTATTTATTGCATTTCATGCATATTTTTCATTTTTAGGATATTTTCTCATCTTGCATGATATTTTCTCTATACATTATCTCTCTTATTATCTATGTGCGCGAAACATGACATGCATTCTATTTAGAAAAATAGAAATAGTTTAGTTCATTTGCTTGATCAGGTTAGGAGAGTTACCCTTCAAATATGCGAATGAACGAGTGTGGCTTCCTAGCTAACCTTAGCACGCTCTCATCCTCTCAATAAAAAAGGAAAATTGAAGTCACAAATCTTAGTCTCCTGTACCCATTATGTTGCATTCCTCTCTTTTAACTCATGTATATCTATATATTATAATTATTCTTTTCTTTGAGTCTCATCTTTTGCATATTCGTGATCTCTTCTAAGAATTATTCTTGGCCATCACAAATAATGTGATTTGTACCAATTAAATTTTGAAGAAACATCTTGACCTTCTCGATATCCCCTAAGTCCAGGTTTTGCATCCATATAGAAACATCCAAAATGTGATAAGTTTATATGTTAGATTAGGAAAAATTTCGACTAAATCTTGCAACTAATTTTGGTTAGGTTGAAATGGTGTCTTAGATTTGATTCTATCAAAT